GTTTTTTCTTTTTTTTTTTTTAAGAGTTACAAATTTTATTATATAACTGTTTATCTTATAATATATAAATAACATATACAAATATATTATAAAGATAATTTTTTTTTTTTTTTGGGTCAAATTAAAATTTGAATTTAATTTCGTATTTAAATTTCAAAGTGTTTATAAGTTTTATGTGTGTAAAGTTAGTTCCCAACATATAAATCTCAGTATACTTATGTATAATATATATATATATATATTATATATATATATATAAAGATTGAGGGGGAAGTGACCATCTTTTTCCACTTTGTATTGTTATATGAAGTGCAACTTGAGAGATGAAGACTTAAGAGAAGTCAATAATGGCTTACAGCCTCGTAAAGCTGCAACCGTAGGACCTTCTTCCCATTAACATTTTCTTTTTCTTCATTACAAACAAGTAAAAAATAATCTATTCGTAAAAGTCTGTAAATCACATATTTATATCTTTTAAAAAAACTCATGAATCTTTACTATTTCTACAAATTTTTCGTTGAATTGATTTTATTTTATTTTATTTTTCGACATTTTTTAAAATTTTAAGAAGAATTCCTCTTAAAAAAGTACAGTACGATAAAAGTTATAAGCTGTGTTCGATAATGCAATTTGTGTATTACATGATGGATTATAACAAATTTGAATCTTTGAAGTTACAAAAGTATAACCGGAGCGTATATCGTGTTTTTTGGTTTATGTTTTTTGGCAGCTATCTGATATTGGGTGTATTGGGATTTAAAAATATTTTGTGATAAATGTCTATAATCTAATATATATATATACACACACACGTAATGTATTATTCTTGTATTAGATAAAATTCAAATCTTTAGCATCCACTTTTATGAAAATACACAAGTCTCTAACCCCTATTTTTGTAGAAGTAGAGAAGTATTATGTGACCCAAAATGTTATATATATACATATATATATGTATATATATTTCTTCCATTTGCATCAAATACAACTGTTAACATAAAATAAAAGTGTTCCTTTTTGTTTTTGTTATTTTGGGATGTTTATTTCTAAAAAAGAAGACTTTTTTGACTTTGTTACTTTCCTTGAAATCAACCAATCAATTATTAAAGCTTAATTTGCCAAAATACAAATTTTGAATTATCAAAAAGATAAAGTAGAATAGAAAATTCCAGCAAATGGGTCCCTTAGGTTGAAGAATGATGACCTAATTCTTTGGGTGTAAACGAAGATTTGATGATTGAATTAGACGGTACTTCAAAAGAAAATTCAATTGAAGTGTCGTTTTTAATTTGTTAATTTGAGTTTAGTTAACGTAATTATACGTTATTCTATAACAAATCGTTCTTAAAAAATCGGTAAATAGCATTTTAACAATTATAATATTTGATTACTGTGTTATTGAAACTGCGATAACTAAATTAAGTTTCTTCACGTGAGTGGTTGGAATTGGAGAGAAAGTGAGTGTATGGCGAGACCTGTGGTTACCTCGAAACCGAGATTTTTTATGTTGGGAGTCAATGTGTTGATGGTTTTAAAGAGCTTAGGGTAGCTGATCTTATTATGACAGAGGACTCACAGTTCTGAAACACAAATATGTTACAAGAACTATTTGCTAAAGAGGGGGTGAACTTGATTCTTGATATGCCGCTCAGTCTGCGAAACAGAGAGGATAGATGTACATGGGGGCATTGGAAAACTGGAAAATACACAGTCAAATCTGCCTACCACCACCTATTGCGGGGGACTTACAGACACCATCCGGTGGGTGGGGGGGGAGAATCTATTCATCATTTATTTTGTATATGTATATATATATGCTATTATTATTAGCATTATCAAAAGTTCAATAATTACATAAACTTTTAATGCTAACCAAGTATATATAAAAGCTTGTATTTTATTTCAAATGATAGTAAATAAAGTTAACATTAATATATATATATATATATATGTAGATGAATACAATCATATCTAACATGAAAAATTTCGAAATTACCACCAAGTAAAAATACAGTCTCTTCCATCCAAACATGTCCTAAATCATTCAGAAGAACATCTTTTAACATAGGACATCATTCTTTATTCCAACATGCTAATTGATTATTATTAAGTAATAAAAAACTGAATGATAATGAAAATCAAAACACACAAACAGATTATTCTCAGCCTAGAAAAGAAAGGTTTCTCTTTTCTTGAGACTTTAGGAAAGGAAAAATGAACAAAAATGAGAATTGTTTGATCAGTAAATTGGATAGGAGGAATCCAATGCAAGTCCACAGAGACCTTCTTTAGCTAGAACATCACGTTGAATCCTCATGAAACCTTCCTCACCCCACCCAGTTCCCCAAGAATTCTTCACTATCCAGTACTTGATCCCATCTTCTGATACATTATAACCCACCGCTGCCACACCATGATTCAGTTCAATACCACAATCTCCTGTAAAAACTCCGGTATGGTAAAACTGAAAATCAAATCCTCCCCCATCAATAGAAATAGACACAGGTTGATTTGCCACCGCCTTTAACAAAGCCTCTTCGTCTCTCTCTGGAACAATTTCATAACCTGTAATTGTGGCTGCTGGTGGTTTTGTTTTTCTTCTGTACAGTTTCCATCAGATCCCGTGTATGGATACTGGGTTTGGTTGGCAATCCCTTGATTTTTTACTATGAATTCAAAAGCACTTTCCATGTATCCACCTGCACAACCTTCATCAAACCCCCCTTTGTCACAGTCCACAAGCTCTTGCTCTGACAGATTGTACAACTTCCCCGTTGCCAATTGAACAATTCCCTCTGTTGCCGCCACAGCTGAGAACGCCCAGCAACTACCTGCAGTTTTCGGATTTAAGTAAAGTTGTTTCTTCTACAGCAAGTAATGATTTAAATACAACTATATGTAAGAGTGTGAGTGTGTGTGTGTGAAATTGGTTTATGTTTTCTTCTGGGTAATTACCGCAGGGGCCTTGGTCCTTGATGGCAGTAACAGCTCCTTTCTCCCTCCAGTCCATGCTTGTAGGAATATCGGTAAAGTTTTCATACTTGAATGATCTTGTTCTTGTTTCTGATCCAGAGGGCTTTTTGTATCCAAAGTTGGATGCCATGAATTCTTGGTTGGTTTGGTCTGCAAATCCATTAATGCTTAGCTTGTAAGGTTTGTTGCCTGCTGAATTGAATGATTCTACGTAATCTACATTGTCTGTAAATATCTTGAACCTGGTTTCCTTGTCTGCAGCACTTGCATAAACCCGTCCATATTTCTCCATCCACTGCTCGAACCTCTCTAACATGGATGATTCCTCCTTGAGCTCACGGCACATGACATGAGACATCATCCCTATTGCCATTGCCAGGTAAAGAACCATCATCATGCATTGCTTTCTATTCAATGCAGCCATGTCTGAATTTGTTTTTGTTAGAAATGAATTGGGTTTGGTTGTAGCAAAGCACTCCGGTTTATATAGATGTGCAGATGATGAATCCTATGTCCTCCTTTGTCCGCTTCGGTGGAGGAGGACAAGAAAGACAAGAACATGGTAAACATCTATATACCTTGTTCACGCCTTGAAATCATCAATTCATCATACTTTGAGATTGACAATTAGTGGTCAACAGCTTTCTTGATGTGAGTTCTATACATGTATATATCCAGGCCAAGATTTTTTTAAGCATACTTTGGTCTAGATTTCATCGGTATATGGGTGTCTCACCAACTTTTATTGGCAGAACTAGTTCTACATGTTGATATAACCATATGTAAATGGAAATTGTTTGTATAGACAAAACTTTTACAAACTGATGAATTTTTGTTAGTAAAAAATGTCCCATGAAAAATATTTGGTTTGTATAGGTCATACATACACCAACTTAAAATTCAATCCTATGGCCTGTCATTAAACCCATTAAACTTTGAAGCTCATTAAGTACTTGGCTTCAGGCTTCAGGTACATTTGTAGCTTTTCTTTCATCTCTTCTTCAACTATAGAGAAAGGCTTGACACAGTTAGCAACAGTAACCTTCCAATCCAATAATTGTTAAGCATTTCAGTCATGCATGAATTTAACCACAGCTCAACAAGTGATAATCAATAGAATTTGACAAGTGATAATCAATAGAATTTTACACTGCTCCCAGAGCTTCATAAACAACTGAAACAAATTTAAACAAGTAACATGTATCCTTTGAACAATGATACAAATAGAAGCACAAAATCATGAAAGCTGGATCACAAATAAACTCTCATCTTCAGTCACCATGGAATACACTGATTAAGAAAACTAAAGTAAAAGAAAAAAGATTGTTATGAATTGTGAACCTGAATCAAGTTCCGGAATCTTACTTCTCCGCTCTGTATCTTCTCCAAAACAAACCCAAAATGTTGTTCATTGTTTCCTTTTCCATTCTCTCTGAGAGTCTGAGCCTAAAAGCCCCAAAACAAAACCTTAAATCTATTTATTCATCAAGCTCCTCTCTACCTCCCACTCAAAACCGTCTGCCCTGGTTTTCTCCTTAAATTCTCGCCCATTCTCCTTATTCAACCATATCTCTTCTTCTCCTCTGATCTCCGGCATTATAGACAAGGCAGAGGCTTCTTCTACAAGCTCCTGTTCTCTTTCTGCCTTATTTTTCATTGATTTCTGCTTTCTTCTTCCTTGTGCTAAGTCAACGCCGAAACTCAAGCTTTGGCATTGCTCCCTGCTTCCTTGTCTTTCTCAAACAAAGCACAATCACCAAAGGAAATCCATTTGAAGTTTCCCCTTTCTCTATCGTTCATCTTCAATGAGAACCTTGATCACATGAAGCTACCTGCTTCTCTTTATCTGCTTCACTTCTGCCACATGGACCAGAAATTTTTTCTGATCACTGCTCCTCCTCTTGCAAGTTTCCTTCTCTAGTACAAGTTTAAACATCACATGGAAAGGTAAAGGGACCACAGGGCTGTGCTTTCTTCTCCAGTGATAGGGTGCTGTATCAGGAGACCAGCTCTCTCTCTCTCTCTCTCGCTCTCTCTCTGTGCACGCTTCTTTTTCGGGCAGAAGCGAAGCTTCAGAGGGAAGCTTGGCTTCTAAGCTTCCAACAGAAGCTTGCTTCCTACAGCAAAATACCACCATTGTACTGAAATATTTTTTTTCTTCCTTTTTTAGGGTTCTAGGCTGAGCTTTTGGTAGAGGAAGGATGTTTAGATTTAACAGAGTTGGTTTGGTCTTTTGCGGGAGAATTATTTAATTTAAACTAGACAAAACATAATATAAATGGAAAGAAAGCCTATTTTAGCGTAGATAGTTTGAACAATACTGCTCTATGCAGAAACTGAAATCATAATAAGAACCACACTTGAAAAGAAGTTGAATTTAATAATTAAAATTATCAATTGAAGCAATACAAAGTAGGTGATTTTGAGAAGCAATGCTCTCAATTGAAAAGGTAGTTCAACTCCTATAAACTATATGTCATCTGTCTACTCACAAATATGCCTAAACACAATAGCTTTCATTTCCCTCACTTGTCTAAGGTTTCTGCAAAGAGAGTGGCTAGTCTCACATTCGACACTCGTCCAATCTACTTTTGTGCAGCTGAAATGCGGGATTAACCCAAGCTCCACAGTTGCACTGCATCCCTGCCCAATTAAAAGAACCCAAACGTGCTTTGCAGCCAATGCACAGAAGTTTATCTCCCACGTAACCTTCTTGCACTAACCAATTAAGTTGAAATTAGCATCTATATCACAACTGGTATTCATGGCAATAGCAAAGAAGAAAAAAAGCAATAAAAGAACAAAGAAACTGAGTTTAAATTCACCTGTTTCCATCCACTTCATGGGTTCCACAAAAATGGAAGAACATTCTGGTGGTTCCTTATCTGTTTCCCAGGGGTTACTGCTCCTCTTTTTCCATTTAAAGCACTGCTCTCCCTTTCCTCGCTGGTGAGGAACAATGCTTTCTTCTGCAGCAACAATCCTTCGACATTTTTTACACCGGTGTACAACTTGTGGTTTGGGAACAGTTTCATGGTCAGAGTTATTGGGGTTTTCCATCTGAGATTTCAGGACAGTTTCATGATAAGAGTCATTGGCTGCTTCCATTTGCATATGCTTGTTGGATATTTTCTTTTGAACAACCTATGCACAAACTAGGGAAAAAATAAGAGGGAAAATATCAGTATAAACAACCAGAAATCTGCAAAACCACACTTAGTACTAATCTTCTCGCACTTCAAATCTAAACTGGTGCCACGTAGACGGATGAGTAACAATAGAAATAGGAAGGCCACCACAACTCAAACAATTAATAAACAAACACCCAATAAGCGAATCAGCTATGCTCAGACAAATAATGCTTAAGTCCCAAACATGATTTTGGACATTAGTTCTCTCAAACGTTTGACAAATTTAGACGAACTTCGACGTATTCTAGCAATTTCAAGCAACTAGGTTCCTCACCAGTGTGCTAAGAAAAGACCTTAGATTCACAAACACTACAATTTACTCTACAAATTCAAGCAACTAGAACTATACACAAGTTTGTAAAGAAGATGTATTAGATTCGATATAAGCAAGTTGAAGGTGACCTAGCAATTAAAGCAACTACATTTTACACTAATTTGCTAAGCAGATACCTTATATTTCACAAACTACCCACGGTTGGGTTGGTTAGTACTTTCCGTCCTCACAAGAGAAAATGAATTTGAGAACTGGGTTATGCGTTCATTGTTATAGGCAGGAAGAAAGAAAAACCCTTAGCTCTCGTTTCTAGTGCCACAGGCCTGGTTTCTCAATCCATAAGATCATGGAATTAAGAAAAATAATCACAAACATCACATCTATACCTAAATAGAAAAAATAATACCAAAGTCCAAAACTCAATACCTAATGGGTGACTTACAC